TGAAGAGAGGGCCGGTTAACCAGGCTGGACAGAGTGCAGTCATTTATTCAAACTCTGCCGATGCTTCTGAGGGAGATCACTCCCTATTTGCTGAGTCACACGGGGTTGCTCTACAGACAAACACGAGTCATTGTAAGTGGACGGTCGGCTTTCTGACTGTCGCCGAGTGCAACTGCATCTTTCTCTTTGTGCTCTTAGGAAACATTGTGTGAGGCAGTGCTGGCCTTGAGGTGGCCGTTCTGTCCTGTTAGGAATCCAAATAACACAGGACAGGAGGACAGGAAACATAAAAAAGCCTCTCAGTTTTTCTGTTATGCTGTAAAAATGAAGATTATGGGTTTCAGGCTGCACTTTCAGCGTCTGACCTCCAGAGTAGTGGTGGTGACATCTTTTACAGCAGGAAGACTCTCTGACTGTTCCCTGCCTTTCTATTCTATAATTTCTGAGTTATTTCCGCGCTTAAAATTCTCCAAAACTGCTGTGTCAACTCCGTAAGCTGCTTTTATTGTCCTGATAGAAATCCTGTGAGGCTCTATAAAGAAAGAGACATCAGAACACTGAATTCTCCGGGGATGCAGCTTCAGATATCAACACCTATCCACACAAGAGGCTTCATAAATGCAGCGTTAACAATTCGGGGCCTGCCACGGCTCTGTGACAAGAACTCTCCAGAGAAGAATCGAGTAAAATAACTGCAGACAGCGGTGCAGCCTTGGCCAAATGCACAGCTCACATAAGTGAAATACCAAGCTCTGTGAATGATCTGGCTTGTTACCTCCTATTTCAGGCACCCAATGAGCCTGTCGCATAAGTGCAGACTCAGCATGGAGCCTTTCCACATGCTCCAAATATTGTACTCAGCAAACAGGAAGTATTTTTCATCATGGATGCAGCAATGTTTTATTCATGGGGCTGGTCGTACTGAGGTGTGTGCAGACTGTCTGAACCTTGGCGGGGAGCAGCGGTGAGGATTGTAAATGAGGACGAGTGTAAGTTTATAGAGTGATGCACGCTCTGTGCTTTGCCTTTGTTTACCGGATGGCTGCTAAATGCAGGATAATGTCGGTTACACTTCCTCAGAATTAACACCGGTAGTGCCAAACTGCTGTCATGCTACAGTCACTGTTCACTCAGCAGCTTTCTCACTCTGCTGATTAGATCAAAAAGTAAAAAACAATCAGAGGGTCCTGCTGAAATAAAACCGTATACGTGTTAAAACCCACAGAAAGGCATTTTATCTTTAAAAACAAAAAAAGAAGCCAAAATGTCACCATTAATCAAGTAAAATAATTAAAAATGAAATTAAATTAAAGGAGTAAATCAGATTTTTCACCTTGTAATGATTCTTGAGCTACTCGTGTAAAATGAGGTTCCATCAGGACAATCTGTCAAATCTACGCTGAAATTTTACAAAAAATTAAAAATTAAAAAAATACACCATTCAACGTAAACAGATTTGGTAAAACAAAAAATCCTGGAACTGAAAAGCTGTGAGTGACCGAGAGCCACACGAGGAAAACTCATGTTATATATATTATATATTATATATACTGTTATATTATGGGATGGACTTAGTGATGACTTGAAATTGTCTTGAAAATAATGAAGGATTCAACATAAAACGACTGACGTGAAATGATGAAGAAGAAGAATTTAGAGTAAATCTTGTTTTGTTTTTTCTTTGCTTTCCTGATGTTCTGGCTCATCTGATGATTGCACAGGACAGGCAGGAACAAGCCTTTATCGGTGACAGAGCTTGTTAAATTCTTTTTGTGAGAAAAAAACAAGTTTAATGCAAGCATGTATAATAATTCTTTGTCAGCCTGATGCACACAATTCAGTTTCTGTCCTGCTGATTGTAACTGAAACAAACCGTTCATTCATTCAGGAACAAAGAAAATGTGTGGCTGTGGTCAGTGCTGCAGGTGAAGGAACCCTCTGATCACTAATCGCTCTGTCTGCTCAGACTCCCTGAAGTTTGATATGCTTCACTGAGAAACTCCTGAATTACTCTGAATTACTTTTATGTTGAGTTTCAGGTGCCACTCGCTCCACGAGTCAGATTAGTTCTGATCTAAACTCCCTGAGCGGTTTGTTACATGAGAATAACGTGACATGTTACTGACAAACTGAACTATGAGATAAAAGCTGAGTCATACGTGACCTTTACAGCATCTCATCATGTTTGTGGCTGTTGTCATGGAGACCAGTGTGAACGCTCACGTTTAACCTTTGATGCTTTGATTTAGAAATAAAACAAAAATAATGAAAGACAGTAAAGACTGACGTGAGAGACAAAATAATAATAAATCTAAAGCCAGGTCTG